TGCTAATGACTTCCAAAATTGCTTTAGGCCCAAACAAATTGCCTTTCAAGATTACCTCTCCCCTTGCGTTCTCTTCTGCCACCTTGGAAGGGGTGCAGCTGCGGCAGCCGAAGTGCATGAAGTGGCGCTTTTATAGCTGGAGCATGTCCTCCCCGGCGGCTGAGCACCTCGGGGCAGCCAGCCCGGTGCTTCCACGGTGGCTGTGAGGGGGCGGGAGGCATTCTGGAGTCCCCTGCTGAGGTTGCGGCGTGCACAGTCCCAGAGGCAGGACTCCACGGAACCACATGGGCCCGCACGCTCTCCCTAGTACACAGAATCACCCTCTTAATCTGTTTTAAAATACACAGTACTTCTTCGGAGGAACAACACAGGTTAAGAGGAGTTTATTTGTCTATAGCCATCAGACCACCAGAAAGAGTTTAGTAAAGAGAATTACTTATCTGTATAAAAGTAATACAAATAAAATCAACATAACCCTGAATAATTACAGAGAACAAACAAGATTTAGGATCAGCTTGGAAAAACAGTAGTGAAAAGAGCTTTTAAAATTTCAAAGAATGCCTGTTAAGAAAATGTGCACAAACCTGGGTAAAGTTATATAATGCTAGAATCAACATATATTAAAAGGTAACCCTGAAAGTTTCCTGGCAAGATAGCACATTCTCCCTTAAATTCCCACCTGCCGGAACATGAATTACTGCAGAGAGAAAACAGAGAGTCTTCAGCTGGATTCTGCTTGCCCACAGGGCAAGAAGGCTCTCCCAGTCCCAGTATAAATATACATAAATATGATGCAAGTATTGTTCTTTTAGCGCATCACATGAAGGATAATATAAACAAACAAGGTCTTCCCTCTTCCATTTTGAACTACAACAACTATGTGCAAAGCACAATCCTATCATCCTTCCCCTTGTCTGCCCCTGCCCCCCAAGCAAATGCATATATAGCATTGATGTGCATCCTATGTGTGAGTTAGGACTGGGCATTTTCTCTAGCCCTCTAACTTTGGTGCTGCAGAGGGGGAGGGAAGGAGGCCAGGACACCAATGGGAAGCTGGTCCAAGCCTCTGCTCTCCCTACACCCTTTCTACCCTCCAAACCTCGGTTGCAACCTCAGGGGGAAACTGGCATGGTTCTTTCCACAGTGGCTGTGAGGGGGCTTAGTCTTTGAAGTCCCAGATGCAAGGTGGCAGGACTCTGAAGAATCCTATGGTCTCCCAGATGGTGTCTGGAGGCCGTAGGATTGAGCCTTTGGTGTATGACCATTACTACTTCTACAACTGAGCTATCTTTTAATTGAACTGAGCTCTAGTAAAGAACATGCTATCTCTGGATTTCTGTATATGTTTCCCATACGTTAAAAGAGTGATAGAGAAAATCAAGCTAATTTTTAGTTGATGTCATAAGGAAAATCTGTGCTAAACATTTTCTGGTTATATGCAGGACTGCGTAGGAACTGGGTGGCCAGTCTTGCTGAAGCAGGCTGTTCAGGGGGAGGTGAGAGCAAGCGAGCGGGACTATTCGGTAAGCCTTGCTAAGGGACTCACATCCCCCCACCTTCCTTCCCGATTCCTCTGTGGGTGCACGTGCCTGCGGTGTGTCTTTTCAGAATACAGACCTGCAGGCATGGATTGCTGATGATAGGAAAGCTGCTCTGGGAGCCTTTTAGCTGAGAAGTGGCACTGAAATTCTTCAAATAAATTAATAAAAATGAAATGAAGAACTAATAATATACTGGCAGATGAGAAGAAGGATTCAGGATGATACATCTAAAGAGTTACTTACTGCTTCCTTTTATACCAGCTTATACAAAAATGTGAGGAAATTTTCACTCAAAATAATATATGTAGCCTTTATAAATTTTAAGTTAGGATCTGATACTATTCTTGGTCAGTCAACAGTCTTTATTATTCATAGCTGCAGGCCACCACAATCCCAAGAAACATGGGGCAAGACATTTTACCCTATTTTAAGTTCCATTTGTATGTAAGTTATCGGGCAGACAGGGAACCCGAATCAGAATGTGTGTGTGTCCAGAGGGTAAGACTGAGTAAACTTTGAAGTTCCTATCAAGCCAATGAATGACTATATACCAGTACAACTTTGCCTGTCTTTAATTATAGGATAACTATAAGAAGAGGGAGACCTGAAGAGAGCAATCCTGAACCCAGAGATGGTCACCAATTCCAGGCCAGTGGCTAATATCCCTTTCTTGGGCAAGGTGCTCAAGAGGATGGTGGCCAAGCAACACCAAACTCTCTTGGAGGAAACTGACCATCTGGAGCCATTTCTGTCTGGTTTCAGGCCTGGCTATGGAACTGAAACTGCCTTGGTCACCCTGTACAATGACCTGTGCAGGGAGAGGGACAGGGGGAGTGTGTCTGTGTTGGTTCTCCTGGACCTCTCAGCGGCTTTCAATACCATCGGAGGCACTACTCTGAGGTGGTTCCACTCCTATTTGGCTGACCAATTCCAGAAGGTGGTGCTGGGGGATTGTGGCTCTACACCATGGCAGCTCTGCCATGGAGTTCTGCAGGGTTCCTTTTATCCCCCATGCTATTTAACATCTACATGAAACTGCTGGGAGAGGTCATCTGGAGGTTTGGGCTGCAGAGTCATCAGTATGCTAATGACAGCCAGCAATGTCTCTTTTTTACATCTAGCCCAGGTGAGGCAGTGGCTGTCCTTAACTGGTGCCTGGCTGGTGTAATGGCCCAGATGAGGGCCAATAAGTTGAGGCTTAATCCAGACAAGGCGGAGGTCCTTGTTCAGTGATTCTAGCCCTTTTTCTGGATGGGGTTGAACTCCCCCTATAGGACCAGGTGAGCGGTTTGTGAGTGTTCCTTGACCCAGAGCTGTCACTGAAGTTCCAGGTGGCAGCAGTGGCGAGGAGCACTTTCCTTCCACTTCGGCTGATCCACCAACTACACCCTTCCTGGATGAGCAGAGCCTAACGAAGGTGACCCATGCTCTGGTAACTGCTTCCCGGCTGAACTCTGCCATGGGGCTGCCCCTGTAGATGGTCTAGATACTTCAGTTGGCTGGCTGCCAGGATGTTAACAAGAACCAGCAGGTATTCACATATAACACCGAACCTTTACCATCTACACTGCCTACCAGTTGAAGTCTGGGCCCAATTTAAGGTGCTGGTGATGACCTATAAAGCCCTAAACGGCTTAGGACCTGGATATCTGAAGTAGTGTTTCTTCCCCTATGTACCTTCCTGCCCTTAAGATCTGACGTGGAGGTCCTTCTTTGGGAGCCCTCCTTGAAGGAAATTAGGAAGGTGGCTACCCAGAGAAGGGCCTTCTCAGCAGTGGCATCCCGATTATGGAATGAGCTCCCAGAGATGCCTGGCACTGACTATTCTTTTTGGTGCTAGGCTAAAACCTTTTTATTCACCCATTATTTTAAGGTTGATTAGGTTTTAATCTGGGTTTCATTTTATTGGACTTATTGGATGCTGTGCTTCACTTTATTCTGTTTTTATTGTAGACAGTCCCAAGACTGTAGTAGTTGGACAGTATATAAACGTTTTAAATAAATGAGTAACCATAACCCCCTTCTCTGTTGGGTTTTTATCTGTAAAAAAGTAAAGTTCCTAGACAAGATATGCACCTAGGACAACTGTTAAAAGCAAATCTGGATTGATGAAGTCCAGTTCTTGCTACTTTTTTTTTACTTTCATAAATCATCACAGGAAAATTCCTGGAGTCAAGGAGTAAGCATTTGGTGCCAATCCATTAAAAAAAGTTTTGATGGTTGATCCAAAGAATTTCTGACCAATTAGTCCTCTCAGTGTTCTTTCCATATTATATTCCAAATATTTATTAGACAAGTTGAAAATTGTCTAATAAATATTTGGAATATATTTATTAGCTGCTGAAAATTCAATTATAGCTGAAGAACAGCCAAGATCTATAAAAGGCAAGTCTACAATAGATCAATGTTTTGGTCTTCATCATTTGATCCCAAAATATTCTCAAGAGGGTGTTTGCCTGCTTTTGGATTTTAGTTCTGCCCTTGATTTCACAGATAGAGGCCACATGTGGCAAAAGTTCTGCATCACAGACACCGTTAAAAGGTGCTCTATCTAATGTAAATGTTCTACCCTAATATGTCTCTCAGGGTCAGACTTGGGGCAAATAGACTGTGAGTTCGGTATGAAAGAGCCCTTAACACTAAATCATACAAAATGAAAAGTTGCAGGTTTGGGGAAGAAGGAAAAAAAATGGAAATTGGGTAGCAACCCACTGAACAACAGTGTAATTTCAGATTCCTGGGACTTGGGTTTAACACCCAGCTTTTGTGGATCCCTCATCTGAAGGGAATCAATCTGAAATCCTCCTATCCCATCCTCTCCCTGATACATTTTTATAAACATCAAATGGGGAGCTTGATTGTACAGGCAGTTGGGATGTTTTCAAAGAAGATACTCTCACTATTCCTGTATGGTACAGAAATTCAAATTATTTTCTATTTGAAAGGTGGTGTAGAGCTCCTTTGTGAGATTCCTACCAGCTGTCAAGGAAGCACCTGGTGCTGCACCTGCTTCTTTTGTATGGGTGGAAGCAGGAATACGTTGCCAGAAGCACAGGATCATACTGTCAGTACCCTGCCTTGGCTGCAGTTGTCCTCCAGGAAAAGTTGGCACTTGCCAAAACTGTTTCTTAGAACAACTGCAAACCCCAGCTCAAGGTTCTTGGATAAATTCTATAAGATATATTTTACATAGTTATGGGATTAGTGCAGAAGCACTACTTTCCATCTTTTCCAACTGAGTTAAACTGGTTAAGCTATTTAAAGGATCAATCTATGTTTTCAGTATTATTACACAAATGTGTTATTCAGCTTATGTCAATTGACATTTGAATTGGAGCAGCACTTCCCAGTTCTTACTGTTGCTCCTTAAGGAAGATTTCCACAGCCTTACAATGCCCTTTGCTTATTTGGTTGGGGGATTTGGCTGTTTCTGAACTCAGCAGCAGCTGTGTACCTGTGAGTCAGGTGATGCTGTGCACTGTTTTCTCCATTGCCCCTTACATGAGTCCCCCAGATATAAATTTCTCCATCCTGTTCACAATTCTTTACCAAATGCACCTTTCCTGGACTGCACCTG